GATTTATCATTGGGGGATGGTGGAGGACATACGGTAGGGGTGATGGTGGAGGTCATAGGGTAGGGGTGATGGTGGAGGACATACGGTAGGGGTGATGGGGGAGGACATACAGTAGGGGTGATGGTGGAGGACATACGGTAGGGGTGATGGTGAAGGACATACGGTAGGGGTGATGGTGGAGGACAGAGGGTAGGGGTGAGGGTGAAGGACATACAGTAGGGGTGATGGTGGAGGACATACGGTAGGGGTTATGGTGAAGGACATACGGTAGGGGTGATGGTGGAGGATAGAGGGTAGGAGTGATGGTGGATTACGTTCAGTGGAGGTGACATTGGGGCTGTCTGGAATCTTCTCTCTGAGGGGCCCGGGGGTGGGGGGTTGTTATGGAAACAATGGCGAGCTGATATCTGACGCGTTGTCCGCCATCTTGTAGGCCCTGCGAGGGGTGCGCTCCGTGGCCGGTCACACTCTGAAGGTGGAGGTGGAGTGCCGGTCGGTGGACGAGGCTCTGGAAGCCGCAGAATCTGGAGCGGATATCATCATGCTGGACAATTTCACCCCAGAGGTACCTACCTGCCCCTCCTGCTCTTCACCTGTCTGCCTCCGTGTGGCTCAGGGCTGACATGGGGTCCCCACCATAGTATGAGAGGGGCCCCATATTGCACTGGGGGGACATTCTAGAATAATGGGGACAATGCGTATCACCCCAGAAACTCAAAGTATGAAGGAAAAGTTATATGCACAGGACCGCCGCCCCCCGGGAGGTGAAGAACCCCGGGGGAGGGGGGGGGGAGGGGTCATACAGAGGGGGCCCTCAACCTTCCGCACTCCAAGCCTGGCTTCAGGGAGATGGAGGGAGCTGAGCGCAGCTGCAGTATTTGCTGGATATCATTGGTAACTGGCTGAGTGGTTGCCAGGGGTTACGGTGTGCTGATCAATATCTCTTCTTTTCTAGTCACTCCATCATGCAGCGCTCCTGGTGAAGACAGCGTACCCCAATATGGTGGTGGAGGCCTCAGGAGGGGTCACACCCCACAATGTTCTCCGGTTCCTGGGACCTCACGTGGATGTGGTGTCCATGGGCTGCCTGACTCAGGGCTACCCCAACATCGACTTTTCCCTCAAACTGGCTAAAGGAATTCCAAACCTTCCTTGAACCCCAACACTGTGACCCCGACATTTCCCCCTGCGACCCCAACATCTATATCTGTGACCCCCAAATCTTCTCCCCCTCCAACCCCAACATCTATATCTGTGACCCCCACATCTCCTCCCCCTCTAACCCCAACATCTATATCTGTGACCCCCACATCTCCTCCCCCTCTAACCCCAACATCTATATCTGTGACCCCCACATCTCCTCCCCCTCTAACCCCAACATCTATATCTGTGACCCCCACATCTCCTCCCCCTCTAACCCCAACATCTATATCTGTGACCCCCACATCTCCTCCCCCTCTAACCCCAACATCTATATCTGTGACCCCCACATCTCCTCCCCCTCTAACCCCAACATCTATATCTGTGACCCCCACATCTCCTCCCCCTCTAACCCCAACATCTATATCTGTGACCCCCACATCTCCTCCCCCTCTAACCCCAACATCTATATCTGTGACCCCCACATCTCCTCCCCCTCTAACCCCAACATCTATATCTGTGACCCCCACATCTCCTCCCCCTCTAACCCCAACATCTATATCTGTGACCCCCACATCTCCTCCCCCTCTAACCCCAACATCTATATCTGTGACCCCCACATCTCCTCCCCCTCTAACCCCAACATCTATATCTGTGACCCCCACATCTCCTCCCCCTCTAACCCCAACATCTATATCTGTGACCCCCACATCTCCTCCCCCTCTAACCCCAACATCTATATCTGTGACCCCCACATCTCCTCCCCCTCTAACCCCAACATCTATATCTGTGACCCCCACATCTCCTCCCCCTCTAACCCCAACATCTATATCTGTGACCCCCACATCTCCTCCCCCTCTAACCCCAACATCTATATCTGTGACCCCCACATCTCCTCCCCCTCTAACCCCAACATCTATATCTGTGACCCCCACATCTCCTCCCCCTCTAACCCCAACATCTATATCTGTGACCCCCACATCTCCTCCCCCTCTAACCCCAACATCTATATCTGTGACCCCCACATCTCCTCCCCCTCTAACCCCAACATCTATATCTGTGACCCCCACATCTCCTCCCCCTCTAACCCCAACATCTATATCTGTGACCCCCACATCTCCTCCCCCTCTAACCCCAACATCTATATCTGTGACCCCCACATCTCCTCCCCCTCTAACCCCAACATCTATATCTGTGACCCCCACATCTCCTCCCCCTCTAACCCCAACATCTATATCTGTGACCCCCACATCTCCTCCCCCTCTAACCCCAACATCTATATCTGTGACCCCCACATCTCCTCCCCCTCTAACCCCAACATCTATATCTGTGACCCCCACATCTCCTCCCCCTCTAACCCCAACATCTATATCTGTGACCCCCACATCTCCTCCCCCTCTAACCCCAACATCTATATCTGTGACCCCCACATCTCCTCCCCCTCTAACCCCAACATCTATATCTGTGACCCCCACATCTCCTCCCCCTCTAACCCCAACATCTATATCTGTGACCCCCACATCTCCTCCCCCTCTAACCCCAACATCTATATCTGTGACCCCCACATCTCCTCCCCCTCTAACCCCAACATCTATATCTGTGACCCCCACATCTCCTCCCCCTCTAACCCCAACATCTATATCTGTGACCCCCACATCTCCTCCCCCTCTAACCCCAACATCTATATCTGTGACCCCCACATCTCCTCCCCCTCTAACCCCAACATCTATATCTGTGACCCCCACATCTCCTCCCCCTCTAACCCCAACATCTATATCTGTGACCCCCACATCTCCTCCCCCTCTAACCCCAACATCTATATCTGTGACCCCCACATCTCCTCCCCCTCTAACCCCAACATCTATATCTGTGACCCCCACATCTCCTCCCCCTCTAACCCCAACATCTATATCTGTGACCCCCACATCTCCTCCCCCTCTAACCCCAACATCTATATCTGTGACCCCCACATCTCCTCCCCCTCTAACCCCAACATCTATATCTGTGACCCCCACATCTCCTCCCCCTCTAACCCCAACATCTATATCTGTGACCCCCACATCTCCTCCCCCTCTAACCCCAACATCTATATCTGTGACCCCCACATCTCCTCCCCCTCTAACCCCAACATCTATATCTGTGACCCCCACATCTCCTCCCCCTCTAACCCCAACATCTATATCTGTGACCCCCACATCTCCTCCCCCTCTAACCCCAACATCTATATCTGTGACCCCCACATCTCCTCCCCCTCTAACCCCAACATCTATATCTGTGACCCCCACATCTCCTCCCCCTCTAACCCCAACATCTATATCTGTGACCCCCACATCTCCTCCCCCTCTAACCCCAACATCTATATCTGTGACCCCCACATCTCCTCCCCCTCTAACCCCAACATCTATATCTGTGACCCCCACATCTCCTCCCCCTCTAACCCCAACATCTATATCTGTGACCCCCACATCTCCTCCCCCTCTAACCCCAACATCTATATCTGTGACCCCCACATCTCCTCCCCCTCTAACCCCAACATCTATATCTGTGACCCCCACATCTCCTCCCCCTCCAACCCCAACATCTATATCTGTGACCCCCACATCTTCACTCCCTGCAACCCCAACATCTATATCTGCGGAGTCTTGAAGCTTGTATGGATTTGTCTGCTGCCATTGCTGGCCCCTCCCTGATTACCTGGCTGACTTCACTGGCTGCATGCTTGTTTCAGACATTGGCACAGCCTGACATGTGACATGTTCAGTCTCGAGGTCGGCGCCGGCACCCCGTATGCCCCTCTGTGGTCTCTGTACAGTCCCGGCGGTGAAGGGGTCATCATGGCGGCTTAGGAATGATTAAACTGTCGTCTTCCTGTTCAGCTCAGTCCCGGGGGCCTCGCTTGTCTTTGGGGGTCTATTTCTTTCACACCAGATTCATACAACTTTCACCCAAGATGTAAAACTACATTCTGGGTGAAAGCATTCATTGTAACAGTGACTACGTCTCTTCCCCATGGTCCCTCTGTGTGTGCTGTAGTCACCGCCCCAAGCTCCGCCCCCCCCGGGATGGACTACAATCTCATGGTTAGGTCACTCATTTGTAATGGGATTGTAGTTTACCTGTGGGGGAGGAGCTTGGAGCGGTGACTACAAAACACACAGAGTGACCATGGGGAACAGACGTAGCCCCCCTCCAGAAGGAAGGACAGTGTCAGAGATGATTGGAGGATCTGCAGCTGAGTGACACAAATAAGAGATCTCCCCATAATGGAGGTGCCTCTATCCAGGAGGTCTTCCCATACTGGAGGTCCCTCTATCTAGGACGTCTCCCCATAATGGAGGTCTCTCTATCCAGGACGTCTCCCCATAATGGAGGTCTCTCTATCCAGGAGGTCTCCCCATAATGGAGGTCTCTCTATCCAGGACGTCTCCCCATAATGGAGGTCCCTCTATCCAGGAGGTCTCCCCATAATGGAGGTCCCTCTATCCAGGGGGTCTCATGTGTCCAGCATGTGTTTTGTGTTGGCAGCATCGTTATTCATGGGTATGAGACATCTGTTGGGTATATTTAGGAGGCTCTGTGGAGGATCTGTGGAGGATCTGTGAGGGATCTGTGGGGGATCTGTGGAGGATCTGTGGAGGATCTGTGAGGGATCTGTGGAGGATCTGAGGGATCTGTGGGGGATATGTGAGGGATCTGTGGAGGATCTGTGAGGGATCTGTGGAGGATCTGTGAGGGATCTGTGGGGGATCTGTGG